AGCTGGAGGTCATATCGATTAGATGGTGACCGCCCTCTGATTTTGATGACTTTGTGAGTAAGAACTGAAGGCAATCCCAGCTATCGATCTCGGCCGTAGAAATTATAATCTCGTCGACGATGTCGTCGGGTTCTCGTCCGGGTCGGAGCCAGTGCATACAAGAGTTAATAGGTCACCGGAATCCTGATCGTGTGCCGTCGACGCCATTACAGTGTTGTACTTCGCTTCTGATGTGGGAAGGAAATTTCTGTTACTACCATTTTATATGAATGACCTTTTGCCTTGCCGAGTTTTTGGATTTATTTCTTAAACGAAGTAGCGATTTATAATAAACGTTTTAGACAATAGAAATTATTTTCATTAATGATGCATAACTAAAACATTAGTATTAATCAGTAATTACTAATTAGTGCAACTCATATATATTATATACAAGTATAAGAGAAATTAAGCTATACGCCTTAATAATGGTTCTTTTTAACTCTAGAAGTTATTCATTTGACATTTTGTAACATAATTTACTAAAAGTGTGTGTATATTTTGAATTTTGACAACCGAACCGAACGTGTTACTGGCCCCTACTATTTAGGAACTTTATAGCGATAATCAAATGAGCCCTGAAGAGTTTATAACATATTATACGATATAGTGTAATTTTATGGTTTTATTTTATTAAAGTGGTTTAATTTTAAAGAATTAAATGGTGGATGTTGAGAATTTTAAGGGGTAATTAAAAATAAGAACTTCAAATATATTAATTAATTAATATTAATAACACCATAAAAGAGATTTAGACAACTTAAAAAAAATAATTCAAAAAGGAAATTGCATGGCTTCAGTTTGCAGCTCCACCAAAAATATTTAATTCAATAAACATACAATTAACGGGAAAATTAGATGTTATTCATAAAGCCAAAAAGGGGAAGAAAAAAAAATTCTCCTAAATCGAATTTGTTCGTCATTAATCATTTTGGAGCGGAGGAAGATACTAGAGAAGCGGTGCTGCGGCAACGGCGGCGGCGCACAATAAGCTTTTCCGTTATAATCAGCTAGCGCACCACCTTCTTGTGAAAATTCCTGTGACAGCTGCACGCCGCACACCTCAACGCGGCGCTGCTCCCCTCATCTCCGGCCGGCATGAACTCGCAGCAGCCGTCGACGGCGTACTTCCCGATGCTGGCGGCGTGGTTTTTCCGGCACTCCTCGTAGGTCACAACTCTTTCGTCCTTATCCGGAATCTTCCGCTCGTTCTGGATCAGATTCATTTTCGAATAAGGTAGGCCAACTGTGAGAAGAAAAGACCTCATCATATATACAGTCGTTCAATAATGGAAAGCCCTAGTTTTTCAATTGTGGTAAAATTCGTACTCGGTGCAATAATGCAGTAGCAGTAGGAAGGGGGAGAATTGCGCAGAGCATTATTTAGGGATGGGTGTGCGGAAGTGGTTGGGGCGATCATCAGTAGGTGGCTGCGATAGGTGGCGCAGCCGATTTTGATTGATTTATCGCCGGCATTGGTAGATCCGATTTAAATGGCGTGTCCGTATGAAAAGGTAGGTTTATTGTTGGGGTTTCAATAATGGCTGTTCACTATTCATTGGTCTCTCGTGCATGGTCTTTTGAATAGACCATTTTTTTTTTTTTTTTCATGTCAATTAGGATTTAAGATTTTAATTAGATTTTTTTTTTTTTTTTGTGACTAACTAATTATTTAGTTATTAAAATATTTTGTTCCATAAATTAAATATTGTATGTATTTTGTCTATAAAACATGTCAATAAATTATATATAATTTGATTAAAAAAATAAGATTATGCATGCATACACATCCACATTCTTAAAAGGAAAAAATGTGTATACTTTGATCAAAAAAAGTTGATGCATATATAATACATTTGCTCGTAAATTCCTTTTTGGCTAGTTTCATATACTAATTAATGTACTATATTTTGGACACTGTACTATCCCTTTTAAGTTTCGCTTACATTAAGCTCTCTACCCACTCGAAAGGGCATTCTAGACATTTAAAAGGGGGAGTACATTGTCCAACGTGTAGTGGGACTGAAAACAAAAGGGATGTACGAGCTAAAACCCAAAAATTAAATACATTAGAACTTGTTATCAACATTCACTTCAATGAGCCTATAAGAAAACAAAACATCTAATTCAACTAAAAATGAACATAATAAAGGGCGCCCACACCTCTTAGTAACGAGAAATCTTTGCTTCATTATATCGAATTTGTCCCCATCACGTGGAAATATATATACATATATTTCCAGTGCCATAACCAGCAGCAACTTCTTCAAACAGCACATACTATATATATAACTTATATATATATATATTACAAGATGGAAGATGAGCAAAAGAAATAGCACCTTTACCTTTAAAAACAAAAACGTTTTTTTTTTTCCCTTTAGAACAACTCAAACTCTAACTGCTCTCCACTAGCACCACACTCCAGAAACTTTTTCCCCTTATCTTGACTGTCTGTTCTTGAATCCGACACAACACCGTTATAACTCTCCGGAATCTGAGGTGGCACGGCACACCTTATCAACGCCCAATTCAATCCCTGAAAAAACGGGTGCCGTTTAATCTCAGCGGACCCCGTTTCAGTCCCCAGCCTATTCTCCGGCTCCTTCACCAACAGGGATCTGATAAGATCCCTCGCCTGAAAACTCACAATCGGACCCTCGGGAAATCTCAGACTCTGCATCACCACATTAGCCAACGTCTCCTCATTTCCAGCCCCTTTAAACGGTGTTTTCCCATAAAGAAGCTCGTACAGGAATATTCCAAATGTCCACCAATCCACCGCACTTCCATGGCCTTCTCCTTTTATAATCTCCGGTGCTAAATACTCGTGCGTGCCTACAAATGAGTTTGATCGAGCCTCTGTGGGCTCCGCTATTAGTTGGGGCAGCGATCTGGTGTGGTCGGCCTCGGCTTTTAGCTTTCTTGCCCTAGCTGTGGTGGGTAGGATTCTAGGGGTGAAGCACGACACTTTACATGTGGGCCCGCTGCAGAAAGGGTCTATGCAATTGGACCCTGCACATGGTCCGGACATTCTAGGAGGTTCCATTGCTAATGATTGGACGAGAGTTGGGCTGAAGGAACACCTGAGCGACAGGTCGAAATCGGTTAGCATGATGTGGCCATCTTCTCGTACTAGGATGTTTTCTGGTTTAAGATCGCGGTACACAATACCAAGCATGTGCAAGTATTCGAGGGCAAGAAGAACCTCGGCAACGTAAAATCTGCAAGAACCGAAAGTTTTAAGTGTTAAAACTGCTGTTTTAAAAAAAACTTTTTCTCGAATATTGTATCCCATTGATTTTATTGTTTAATGATACCATAAATTTACTATATCAACATGAACTCCGGTCCTGGGATACTTCAAAGGTTTCACACTCGAAGATTCGCAACTCGTCTATAAACTCATGATGTAATAAATTAACTAAAATCAAGGGTTCGATATTGCTATTTTCAGATACATAAAATGAACATCAAATTCTATACCTCGCCGCCTGTTCAGGAAAGTTCCGGCCAGGTTGCTTCTGCCGGAGAACATGCAGATCTCCGCCAGGACAAAAATCCATAACCAAACACGACAAATTATCAGATGTAAACTGAGCATAAAGTGTCGGCAGAAATGGATGGTCCAGCATCCTCAGAATTTCTCTCTCAGTTTGCGCCCTCACCATCTTCTTCCTTCTTGCCAAGAACTCATTATCCATCACTTTAATCGCAAAAGGGCAGTTCGTTCCTATCAGTTCAGCAAGATAAACCGTACCGATATCTCCAGAGCCAAGTTTCTTCAATAAATTGAAGTGACTCAGCCCTAAGAAGCCATATTGTTTCTTTACATGATTAATGACTTCCCATCTCATATCCTTCGACATGTGCGGTCTATTGCTGCAAGTGGAACCACTTAGATTGCTCTCGTCACTGAGTGTGCTATTCGTGCTACTGCTAAAATCGCAGATACTGCTCTTTGAGCTTTGAGAGATATCACCTTTAGTACAGGGCTTGTTGGAGGGCACATTAGTCTTTACAGCAGAAGTATTTCTATCTGCCTCGCAATCTGGAATATCCTTACTTGTATCCTTCAAGGAACACTGGCACTTCTGGCAGATCAATTGCTCAGAATTGTGGGCCTCAACACTATTTATTTCGTTCGATTTTCTTGAATTTCCATCGGTTGCCAATACCGGTGCTTTCTTCGATTTCTTTATAGTGAGATTCTTGTTTCTGGCAATGGGTTTGACTAAACGAGACGTGCTTTTTGTTGGCCTCACATCTTTAGTGCCTTTCACTGCACTGGATGAAGAGGATACATTCTGTAACCTTGATTTTCGTCTCGGTTTCGGTGCAGCTTTATCTACTAGTTTAGAGGAGGCGGTGGAATCCATACTTGGCACACTTGATACCTTGTTTGAAATATTAATATTATCACGAGCATTATTATGAGGCGGGGTTGAAATCAAAACGGGGTCTTTTTCCTTTAGGCTTGTTTTCATCAACTGAGTACCAACTACCGATACAGAACTGCATCCGTTCTGCTTCAAAGACTCTGTTTCTGGTTTTTCTTCAAGATACTGAGCCTTTTTACTAGTCGAACATGCAGCATTACTAGAATTATGATCTGTGTTCTTTATTATAACTGGTTTAACACCAAAACTACGAGAAGAATTCGAGGTACTTTCTTCTGGAACCAAACAAATTTCGACATGGGAGGGACCATATTCACCAGTTTCAACTACAACAGATCTGTACATGTTACTGATTTTCCCAGCTTCGGAGACTCTAGGCGATGCTGGCATGGACGAACGTTTCACTGCAGCCATCTCTGCGGCCTGAGAAATGCACAAGCCCCTAAGAGCCTGCTTTAGAGAGACGGGCTCGGAAAATCCAATGCCTGGCGAATAAGAACCGTTACCCCTCATCGGCTTCTTTGAGGCATTTCGTCGAGCATCTGACAGATCCAGACTTTTGCATGTTCTGAGATTGACAGCTTCGAAAAGCTTGTTGATGTCATCTTCCAAGGTTTTGTTTGGTCCCTTTTTCAGAATCGGAGGCTTCTGCTCTCTTTCGTATGCTCTTAAATGACGGAGTGTTTGAGGTCGCTGAGCTGTACTCTGCTCATCTTTTGCCTCGATTATTTCACAATTTCCGCGAAATGAACCCATAACTTAGGAACTGATTTACGTGTGGTGAGTCGCTTCAACTTAGCACCGATGGAAGAGACTTAAACTTAGAATAATGTAGTGATTCATTTCTCAACAAAGACTAACTACAAATTCAATGTCACTTAAAATGTACCTGCAGTAACAATCAAGATAACATGAGCAAATCAGCGCCCAATATAAAATCATGTCGTTATCTACGATTCTTCAATTTTATTTTATTTTTTTGCAAATTGATATATACAGTAAATTGCTAACAATAGTTAAAAGGGGGGAAGGGGTAAATAAATTCCCAGAGTTATCATATCAACTTTACAAAATAAGAAACCGAAAAGCATTACGAATCCATCTTAGATTCTTAATCGAAAAAAGATCTAAACAATTTGCGTACAACATGTGCGTTGATAGCATGAAAATACGCATTAACAGCAGCTTATTGAATTTTTTTTGCAGAAGAACCTCGACGAACAACAGATTTTTCAACAAATCAAACGTTACATTACAACATTAAAAAATAAATAAACAAAAAATAATAATCCGGCGGAGTGATCAGCTACAAGAGAAATGCGTTGAAACTAAGGTTACCTGAATCGATTCAGAGATCTACCACTTCGTATACTAAACAGCAGTAAATAACTCAAAATTTTCAACTTAAATTCACGAGAATTCCACACTTACTGCTCGCTTGAACCTTTTCTTTTCATTCAATTTTTTTTGAAAAAAGGGAAAGTAGAAACCCTAAAGAAAGAGAGTGGTGGGCTTTTCTGATTCTCAGGGGGGCGATTCGGTGGACAAAGATGGGAGTAGAGAGAGAGAAATGACAAAACCTACTGTCTCTCTCACTGGCTCACATCACTAATCAGACTCTCTCTCTTTCTCTCTCCTCTTTCTCTCTCTTCTCTCTCTCTCTCTCCACATTATTTTCATTGTTCTGATTTATTATTACAAAATTGAATTTTGGTAAGGTAGTCCCACTAAATTGTAGCGATGGGACCCACTTAGGGCATCTCCAATGGAGTAAGCAAACTCCATTTAGCTTCAAAATATAGAAATTGTGGAAGAAAATTCAACACCAACAAGAAATTTAGTGGGGCTCTAAATTTTCAGATTTTTGCATAATCTCCAAACTTGTTCCTAAATATAGGACTTTGTTTGGAGACTCATGTGTATTTCATGGAACTTTGTTTAGAGACTGAAAATTATAGAGCCCTCCATTGTGGGATTTTATTTTTTAGAGACCCTAAGATTCCATCGAGTCTCCATACGGGTCTCCAAAATAGAATTTGGAGACCCAATTTTGCTTACTCCATTGGAGATGCCCTTTAAGGGGTCTTTGGATTCGGGATTTTGCATGTGGGTTAATTAATATTAAATTTATGGTCAACAAAACCAATTTAAAAACATTTTTTCACTGAAGCTTTTTATTTATTTATTTTACTTCAGGAAAATAAATCTTATTTTAGGTTCTTTTACTATTTTTTTAATAAATGGTGGTTTAGGATAGGATAATTAACAGCATTGGACCACTCAAACCTCCCTTCGATCCGATTCTAACAACATTGTCAGTTTACCCTAACTAATATAGTAATTATTCATCGTTCAAAAAAGGTTAATACCAATTATGTTGCATAAACAATTTAAAAGCGTAAATTACAACCACCCCTAAGATATGCTCAAATTATTAAAAAAAAAATAAAAACAAAATCTTGTTTGGATAATCTACATTTATCCCCTCAATTATGAATCTTCTTACACCTCCACCCCTATGGTATCAAATTCAACATAATCATCTAGATTCCATAGAATATTCTCTAGTTTGTACTCGTTTTGTGTAAAATACAGTTTTTGATTCACCGAATCTGATTTATCAAGTCAAAACCACATCTTATGATCATCTCACTTCAAAATGTGAAGTTCGAATGGGATAACGGG